ACGGGGGTAGGGGGTGGGTATGTGACGGACGGGGGTAGGGGGTGGGGATGTGAGGGACGGGGGTAGGGGGTGGGGATGTGAGGGACAGGGGTAGGTGTGAGGATGTGAGGGACGAAGGTAGGGGTGGGGATGTGAGGGCCGGGGGTAGGGGGTGGGGGTGTGAGGGACGGGGGTAGGGGTGGGGATGTGAGGGACTGGGGAAGGTGTGGGGATGTGATTGATAGGGGTAGGTGTGGGGATGTGAGGGACGGGGGTAGGGGTGGGGATGTGAGGGACGTGGGTAAGGGGGTGGGGATGTGAGGGACGGGGGTAGGGGTTGGTGATGTGAGGGACGGGGGTAGGGGGTGGGTATGTGAGGGATGGGGTAGGGGGTGGGGATGTGAGGGACGGGGGTAAGGGTGGGGATGTGAGGGACGTGGGTAGGGGGTGGGGATGTGAGGGACGGGGGTAGGGGGTGGTGATGTGAGGGACGGGGGTAGGTGTGGGGATGTGAGGGACGGGGGAAGGGGTGGGGGTGTGAGGAACGAGGGTAGGGGTGGGGATGTGAGGAACGAGGGTAGGGGTGGGGATGTGAGGGACGAGGGTAGGGGGTGGGGGTGTGAGGGACGGGGGAAGGGGTGGGGGTGGTGTGAGGGACGGGGGAAGGGGTGGGGGTGTGAGGGACGAGGGTAGGGATGGGGATGTGAGGGACGGGGGAAGGGGTGGGGGTGTGAGGGACGGGGGAAGGGGTGGGGATGTGAGGGACGGGGGTAGGGGGTGGGGATGTGAGGGACGGGGGTAGGGGATGGGGATGTGAGGGACGAGGGTAGGGGTGGGGATGTGTGGGACGGGGGTAGGGGTGTGGGGATGTGAGGGACGGGGGTAGGGGGTGGGGATGTGAGGGACGGGGGAAGGGGGTGGGGATGTGAGGGACGGGGGAAGGGGTGGGGGTGTGAGGGACGGGGGAAGGGGTGGGGATGTGAGGGACGGGGGTAGGGGGTGGGGGTGTGAGGGACGGGGGTAGGGGGTGGGGGTGGGGATGTGAAGATCACAAAACACATGGAATCACAGCATCTCAATAACCCCGGACAACATGGGTTCAGAACAGGGCGCTCTTGCCTATCACAGTTGCTGGACCACTATGACATGGCATTAGATGCTATGGAAGACAAACAAAACCCTGATGTAATTTACACAGATTTCGCAAAAGCCTTCGACAAATGTGACCATGAAGTTATTGCACATAAAATGCGTTCAAAGAAATTATTGGATAAAATAGGCAGATGGATCTACAATTTCCTGACTAACAGAACCCAATGTGTAATAGTCAACAAAATAAAATCCAGCCCATCAACCGTGAAGAGCTCAGCCTAATGGGTACTGTGCTTACTCCAGTACTTTTTCTGAAAGGAAGTAAAGAAGTTGGAAATAATGATGTCTGATGACCTATCATTTAGGGAGCATATCCTTGCAAACATTGCGTCAGCCAGAAAAATGATTGGATGGATTACGAGAACTTTCAAATCCAGGGATCCCATTACAATGGTTGTACTCTTCAAATCACTTGTGTTGTCCCGTCTTGAGTACTGCTCAGTACTCACTTCCCCCTTCAGAGCAGGAGAGATTGCTGAAATAGAGGGAATACAGAGAACATATACGGCACGCATAGACGAGATAAAACACCTAAATTATTGGGATCGTCTCAAAGCTCTCCAAATGTACTCTCTAGAAAGGAGACGAGAGAGATACCAAATAATATACACATGGAAAATACTGGAGGGCCAAGCCCCAAATCTACACAGTAAAATAACAACGTACTGGAGTGGACGATATGGAAGAAAATGCAGAATAGAACCAGTGAAGAGCAGAGGTGCCATAGGCACAATCAGAGAACACTGTATAAACATCAGAGGTCCGCGGTTGTTCAACATCCTCCCAGCGACTATAAGAAATATTGTAGGAACAGCCGTGGACATCTTCAAGAGAAAACTAGAATGTTTTCTGCAAGTAGTGCCTGTTGTTTAAGATTTGCTACTTGGAACAAAAAGATCCAAGTAGCACGGGCTATGGGAAGCCCGTAATACCGCAAGAAGTGCCGGACCAACCGGGCTGTGGTGGGTATGTGGGCCTGCGGGCCGCTCCAAGCAACAGCCTGGTGGACCAAACTCTCACAAGTCGAGCCTGACCTCGGGACGGGCTTGGGGAGTGGACGGGCTTGAGGAATAGAAGAACTCCCAGAACCCCATCAAGCAGGTATCAAGCACGTACCTCTCCCTTCCACTTTGGACACTGTGGGTTGACCTCTCCCTGCCACAAGGTCTTCCTTGAGTCAAGAGGGTCAAGGTGGAGTCTCTCTCTTGACTGCCGTCTCCGCCAACCTTGACATGGTTTTCAGAGTCTTGATGCTTATCGTTCTGAAGGAGCTGCTTCCCAGAGTCGCCCAGATGAGCAACCGCAAGATTACCATTGTTCTCCCGTGCTGGTTGTGACAGTCGGAGTGCTCAGGGGGCCGACTTGAGCCCCTAGCAGGTGTTCCTTGTCTAGGAGCTCTCTTGCTGCTCCTTGGGGTCACCTTGGAGCTCTCTTGCTGCTCCTTGTGGCCACCTTGGAGCTCTCTTGCTGCTCCTTGTGGCCACCTTGGAGCTCTCTTGCTCCTCCTTGTGGCCACCTTGGAGCTCTCTTGCTGCTCCTTGTGGCCACCTTGGACTCTCTCACTGCTCCTTGTGGCCACCTTGGACTCTCTCACTGCTCCTTGTGGCCACCTTGGACTCTCTCACTGCTCCTTGTGGCCACCTTGGACTCTCTCACTGCTCCTTGTGGCCACCTTGGACTCTCTCACTGCTCCTTGTGGTCACCTTGGACTCTCTCACTGCTCCTTGTGGTCACCTTGGACTCTCTCACTGCTCCTTGTGGTCACCTTGGACTCTCTCACTGCTCCTTGTGGCCACCTTGGACTCTCTCACTGCTCCTTGTGGCCACCTTGGACTCTCTCACTGCTCCTTGTGGTCACCTTGGACTCTCTCACTGCTCCTTGTGGCCACCTTGGACTCTCTCACTGCTCCTAGGGGTCACCTTGGACTCTCTCACTGCTCCTTGTGGCCACCTTGGACTCTCTGACTGCTCCTTGTGGCCACCTTGGACTCTCTCACTGCTCCTTGTGGCCACCTTGGACTCTCTCACTGCTCCTTGTGGCCACCTTGGAGCTCTCTTGCTGCTCCTTGTGGCCACCTTGGACTCTCTCACTGCTCCTTGTGGCCACCTTGGACTCTCTCACTGCTCCTTGTGGCCACCTTGGAGCTCTCTTGCTGCTCCTTGTGGCCACCTTGGACTCTCTCACTGCTCCTTGTGGCCACCTTGGACTCTCTCACTGCTCCTTGTGGCCACCTTGGACTCTCTCACTGCTCCTTGTGGCCACCTTGGACTCTCTCACTGCTCCTTGTGGTCACCTTGGACTCTCTCACTGCTCCTTGTGGCCACCTTGGACTCTCTCACTGCTCCTTGTGGCCACCTTGGACTCTCTCACTGCTCCTTGTGGCCACCTTGGACTCTCTCACTGCTCCTTGTGGCCACCTTGGAGCTCTCTTGCTGCTCCTTGTGGCCACCTTGGACTCTCTCACTGCTCCTTGTGGCCACCTTGGACTCTCTCACTGCTCCTTGTGGTCACCTTGGACTCTCTCACTGCTCCTTGTGGCCACCTTGGAGCTCTCTTGCTGCTCCTTGTGGCCACCTTGGACTCTCTCACTGCTCCTTGTGGCCACCTTGGACTCTCTCACTGCTCCTTGTGGCCACCTTGGACTCTCTCACTGCTCCTTGTGGTCACCTTGGACTCTCTCACTGCTCCTTGTGGTCACCTTGGAGCTCACGGCTGCTCAGTGCTCTCACAGCAAGCATTGGAAATATTGTCGGGACAAAAGTGGACTTATTCAAGAACAAATTATACAAGTGTCTCGAAAGATAATTGATTGTTGCCGCCGGAGGCAACTAGTTTATTGTGCACCCCATACTCATCCTGTGAGCGGTAGCGCAAAAAGCATTACAGAGGGCACAAAAGGTCTTTATCAGACCTCATCTTAGATTATTACATAAACAATTCCATCTATCATTCACACCTTATAGATACAATGTCAGCTAATTACAGAGAAAGTGCTATTACAAGAGCTATATATTTACAGTAAGTCATTATACATTAATGGTAGATCTTATCGTTAATACATAATAGTTTGACCAATGGAGATATTACAGAGTCATAGGGGAGCTTCTGTTTATTATTAGTCCTCACAATACACTACTTGTTCACCAAGGAGTGCCGGACCAACCGGGCTGTGGTGGGTATGTGGGCCTGCGGGCCGCTCCAAGCAACAGCCTGGTGGACCAAACTCTCACAAGTCAAGCCTGGCCTCGGGCCGGGCTTGGGGAGAAGTAGAACTCCCAGAATCCTTCTCCAGGTATGCTCCAGGTAAACTCTCCCTGCTTCCTGATGTCAGCATGGAGCTCACTCTCCTTGACGTCAGCTTAAAACCTATTCAACCTTGATGTCAGCTTGATACCTGCTTGATGGGGTTCTGGGAGTTCTTCTACTCCCCAAAGTTATCTAATGTATTATTGCCCTGCCCGCACAGGTGGCAGCATGTTGCACAGGTGGCAGCATGTTGCACAGGTGGCAGCATGTTGCACAGGTGGGCCCATGTTGCACAGGTGTCCTCATGTTGCGCAAGTGACACCATGTTGCACAGGTGACACCATGTTGCACAGGTGGCAGCATGTTGCACAGGTGGGCCCATGTTGCACAGGTGTCCTCATGTTGCGCAAGTGACACCATGTTGCACAGGTGACACCATGTTGCACAGGTGACACCATGTTGCACAGGTGGCCCATGTTACACAGGTGGCCCATGTTGCACAGGTGACACCATGTTGCACAGGTGACACCATGTTGCACAGGTGGCCCCATGTTACACAGGTGGCCCCATGTTGCACAGGTGGCCCCATGTTGCACAGGTGGCCCATGTTGCACAGGTGACATCATGTTGCACAGGTGGCCCCATGTTGCACAGATGACACCATGTTGCACAGGTGGCCCCCATGTTGCACAGGTGGCACTATGTTGCACAGGTGGCACCATGTTGCACAAATGGCACGGGTGTCAGGAGGCTTGAGCACACTGTACTGGGTGTCAGGAGGCTTGAGCACACTGTACTGGGTGTCAGGAGGCTTGAGCACACTGTACTGGGTGTCAGGAGGCTTGAGCACACTGTACTGGGTGGCTGGAGGCTTGAGCACACTGTACTGGGTGTCTGGAGGCTTGAGCACACTGTAATGGGTGTCTGGAGGCTTGAGCACACTGTACTGGGTGGCTGGAGGCTTGAGCACACTGTACTGGGTGGCTGGAGGCTTGAGCACACTGTACTGGGTGGCTGGAGGCTTGAGCACACTGTACTGGGTGGCTAGAGGCTTGAGCACACTGTACTGGGTGGCTGGAGGCTTGAGCACACTGTACTGGGTGTCAGGAGGCTTGAGCACACTGTACTGGGTGTCTGGAGGCTTGAGCACACTGTACTGGGTGTCTGGAGGCTTGAGCACACTGTACTGGGTGGCTGGAGGCTTGAGCACACTGTACTGGGTGTCAGGAGGCTTGAGCACACTGTACTGGGTGGCTGGAGGCTTGAGCACTCTGTACTGGGTGTCAGGAGGCTTGAGCACACTGTACTGGGTGGCTGGAGGCTTGAGCACTCTGTACTGGGTGTCAGGAGGCTTGAGCACACTGTACTGGGTGTCAGGAGGCTTGAGCACACTGTACTGGGTGTCTGGAGGCTTGAGCACACTGTACTGGGTGTCTGGAGGCTTGAGCACACTGTACTGGGTGGCTGGAGGCTTGAGCACACTGTACTGGGTGTCAGGAGGCTTGAGCACACTGTACTGGGTGGCTGGAGGCTTGAGCACTCTGTACTGGGTGTCAGGAGGCTTGAGCACACTGTACTGGGTGGCTGGAGGCTTGAGCACACTGTACTGGGTGTCAGGAGGCTTGAGCACACTGTACTGGGTGGCTGGAGGCTTGAGCACTCTGTACTGGGTGTCAGGAGGCTTGAGCACACTGTACTGGGTGTCTGGAGGCTTGAGCACACTGTACTGGGTGTCTGGAGGCTTGAGCACACTGTACTGGGTGGCTGGAGGCTTGAGCACACTGTACTGGGTGTCAGGAGGCTTGAGCACACTGTACTGGGTGGCTGGAGGCTTGAGCACTCTGTACTGGGTGTCAGGAGGCTTGAGCACACTGTACTGGGTAGCTGGAGGCTTGAGCACTCTGTACTGGGTATCAGGAGGCTTGAGCACACTGTACTGGGTGGCTGGAGGCTTGAGCACTCTGTACTGCACGTTTAGATGGCGTGTGAACTTGAACTGGATATCCAGGATGTGGATTGTGAATGTAATCTTCATTATTAACATTCTCTCTCTCTCTCTTTCACTCTCTCTTTCACTCATTCACTCACTCACTCACTCACTCACTCACTCACTCACTCACTCACTCACTCACTCACTCACTCACTCACTCACACACTCACTCACTCACTCACTCACTCACTCACACACACACACACACACACACACACACACACACACACACACACACACACACACACATACCTGTACCTGTTGATTGACTGTTGAGAGGCGGGACCAAAGAGCCAGAGCTCAACCCCCGCAAACACAACTAGGTGAGTACAACTAGGTGAGTACACACACACACACACACACATACACATACACACACTCACACAGTTGACGCTGACGTTCACACACACGCTGACTCCATACACAGTTTCAAATGTAGATATGATAGAGCCCAGTAGGCTCAGGAATCTGTACATCAGTTGATTGACAGTTGAGAGGCGGGACCAAAGAGCCAGAGCTCAACCCCCGCAAGCACAACTAGGTGAGTACACACACACACACACAAATATGAAAAAAGTTGTTTAATATCTTCCCAACATGTATAAGAAATATTGCCGTAACAAAAGTGGAAATCATCATGAAAAAACGGGACAGTGTTCTTCAAGAAGTGCTGGACCAATCAGGCTGTAGTAGATATGTGGGCCTGCGAGCCGCTCCAAGCAACAGCCTGGTGGACGAATCTCTCGCCTGGCCCCAGGGGTCAGGCTTCGGAAATTGAAGAACTTCTGTAACCTCATCCAGGTACAATCCAGATACAGTCACAAAATCCTGGAAAGAAGGGAAATGCTTGTCAATCTTTTCTGCTTATCAATGAACATGAGAGCCTTTATGGAAGCGTGAGACTCAGATGTGTTATAGAAATGTTGGAAAGTTATCTTTGAGTAGTGTGGAAAATGGAGTGAAGTAAAGGAGCTGGTTGTAGACGAAAACTCCATTATAATAATAATGATTATGATAGAGAAATAGATCAGGAATCATTGCATTATAAAACCGGTGACTAGAAAAGCGGGATCAAATAGCTAGAGCTCAATCCTGCAGGCGCAAAATGGGTACAAATGTACAAATAGGTGAACACACACACACACACACACACGTGTGCCCAAATGAGCCACAGAGATATTAGAAAGAACTTTTTTAGTGTCAGAGTGGTTGACAAATGAAATACATTAGGCAGTGATGTGGTGGAGTCAGACTCCATACACAGTTTCAAATGTAGATATGATAGCGCCCAGTAACCTGAACACCAGTTCATTGACAGTTGAGAGGCGGGACCAAAGAGCTAGAGCTCAACCCCCGCAAGCACAAATAGGTGAGTACGTCTTCAAAACAATTCATGACCCCTACCAGTTAACTTTTCATTTAGAACTTTGCAAGAACTCATTAACCTGGTTGATGGGGTTCTGGGAGTTCTTCTACTCCCCAAGCCCGGCCCGAGGCCAGGCTTGACTTATGAGAGTTTGGTCCACCAGGCTGTTGCATGGAGCGGCCCGCAGGCCCACATACCCACCACAGCCCGGTTGGACCGGCACTCCTTGAAGAAAACAATCTAGTTTTCTCTTGAAGATGTTCACGGTTGTTCCCACAATATTTCCTATGCTCGCTGGGAGGATATTGAACAACCGTGGACCTCTGATGTTTATACAGTGTTCTCTGATTGCAGAAGTGCCTACGGCACCTCTTCACTGGTTCTATTCTGCATTTTTCTTCAATATCGTTCACTCTAGTATGTTGTTATTTTACTGTGTAGATTTGGGACCTGACCCTCCAGTATTTTCCACGTATATATTATTTGATATCTCTCTCGTCCCTCTTTTTAGTGAGTACATTTGGAGAGCTTTGACACGATCCTAATAATTTAGGTGCTTTATCTCGTCTATACGTGCCGTATATCTTCTCTGTATTATCTCAATTTCAACAATCTCTCCTGCTCTGAAGGGGGAAGTGAGTACTGAGCAGTACTCAAGACGGGACAACACAAGTGACTTGAAGAGTACAACCATTGTGATGGGATCCCTGGATTTGAAAGTTCTCGTAATCCATCCTATCATTTTTCTGGCTAACGCAATGTTTGCTTGGTTATGCTCCCTAAACGTTAGGTCGTCAGACATCATTATTCCCAAATCCTATACATGCTGTTTTCCTACTATGGGCACATTTGATTGTGTTTTGTACCCTGTATTATGTTTAAAGGTCCTAATTTTTACCTTATCTGAGTACCTGGAATTTATCACTTTTAAACATCATGTTACTGTCTGCTACCCAGTCGAAAACTTTATTTTCATCTGCTTGTAGTTTGTCAATTTCTTCAACAGAAGTAATTTTCATGCTGATTTTTGTGTCATCTGCAAAGGATGATACGAAGCTGTGACTTGTATTTGAGTCTATATCTGATATTAGAATAAAGAAAAAGCAGTGTGCCAGGACTGTATCCTGAGATACAGAGCTTTTAACTACATTTGGACCCGATTTTATATGGTTGACTGTTACTCCTTGTATTCTGTTCGACAGAAAACCGAGTATCCAGCGTCCTGTTTTTCCAGTTATTCCCACTGACCTCATTTTGTGTGCTATCACTCCATGGTCACATTTATCGAATGCCTTTGCAAAGTCCGTGTATACCACATCTGCATTCTGTTTTTCTTGTAATGCCTCAGTGATGTTGTCGTAATGGTCAACTAGCTGTGAGAGGCATGATCTTCCCGCTCTAAATCCATGTTGGCCTGGGTTGTGGTCATTAGTTTCCATGAAACTAGTGACCTGACTCCTGATCACTCTCTTGAATACTTTTATTATGTAGGACGTTAGTTCAACTGGTCTATAATTCTTTGCCAATGCTTTGCTCCCTCCCTTGTGTAGAGGGGCAATGTCTGCTGCTTTAAGCGCATCTGGTATCTCCTCCGTGTCCAAGCTCTTCCTCCTCACTATACCGAGTGCCTGTGCTACTGGAACCTTGCATTTCTTTATAAAAATATAATTCCTAGAGTCTGGCCCCAGGGCTGAATTTATGGGCATGATGTCAATTTCTATTTTCAAAATCTTGCACGCATGTGTTGATATCCGTTATATTTACAGGGGTTTGGATATCACTCATAAAGAATTTGTCCGGATCTTCCACTTTCATGCTGTGTATCGGGGTGCTAAACATGTCCTCATACTGCTTTTTTAGGATTTCTCAAATTTCTTCGTCATCCTCAGTGTATAAACCTGCACTAGTACGAGTAGGTCCAATACTGACAGTGGTTTTTGCTTTTGATTTCGCATATATGAAGAAATATTTTAGTTTTTTCTTTATTTCTTGAATTGCTTTCTGTTCTAATTCCCTTTCTTCAATGATGATTGATCACGATGATGATTGGTGATGAACGTTCATGAACGCGGGTATAAATTTTGTTTTAAATATTTAATGGAAGCTAATGCTAAGGAAGTTGATAAATATGAGATAAACAGACACAGATCAAATTTATACATATATGTATTATTATATGTGACTTGCATTTAACTATAGTAAACATTTGCTCAACATTTTGCCTCATAAAGATATTTTGCTTCCTTTTCCTCAGGTTACATCCGGGAGCCTGATCTGGTCCCGCCCAAGGTGACCTGGTCCTGCCCAAGGTGACCTGGTCCTGCCCAAGGTGACCTGGTCCCGCCCGAGGTGACCTGGTCCCGCCCAAGGTGACCTGGTCCCGCCCAAGGTGACCTGGTCCCGCCCAAGGTGACCTGGTCCTGCCCGAGGTGACCTGGTCCCGCCCGAGGTGACCAGCAGCGGCTCCTCGCCCCCAGGACACTGCCCTCTGGACCTGCTCGTTGCACAAGTAGCACGAGACGAGCCGTACCAGACTTTTAGACTTTATCAGAAAGGTCGAGGGAGAGGAGAGTGAGGTCGTCCTTGTAGCGGGCCCGTCCTCAGTGTTGAGGGCCTCGTAGAGCCAAGATGGCGGCCACCTAGAGCCCAGGACCCGCCCTGCGGCCACACCCTCGCCACACCATGTGAAGGTCGCCACACCCACGCCCCCTGTGGCTCCCTACTCCCCGGATACATACAATACACCTCCCACAATACACCTCTCACAAGCCACAATCGTTGAGTGGTCTTACGTAAAGTCTTACGTGCTCTAAAAGTCTCAGATCTTCCAAGACTTTTGGAATCTTCCGCTTAGCAGCAGAGGGTTTGAAGAGCTCCGAGGGTTGCAAGGGCAAAGTTCCCAAGAGTCTGCTCTGGAGCGTGTTACTGCGGGCGACCTTGAGGAGCGAGGCCAGCAGAGAGAGCCCCAGCAGAGGGCAGAGCGAGGCCTGACGCCCGCCTTGCCACAACAGTCGCGCGCCGCCCCCGCCCCCGCCGCCAGCGCTACTCCTCCGCCACTCTTCAGCTCGCACGAAAAAAGAGGTTAGTCCAGTGATTGACTCTTCCATTGTTGGCGCCCATCAGAGTCCTTCTGGCCGGTTTCGTCCATTATACTCTTTATAGCCGATCAGAGGCTGGGTGGGTTTACCCATCAGAGTTTAGGCGAGTTTACCCACCAGAATCTGGGTGGTTTAACCGATCATAATTTAGGAGGCTTTACCCATTAGAGTCTGAGCGTGTTCGCCCATCTACACTATCACTTTCCCTGAGAATTCTGCAGGTGGTAATGTCTTCTCTAAATATTGCCTTTAGCGGTGTAAGGTTTAATCCTTGTAACCTTTCCTTGTAACTCATACCTTGTAGTTCTGGGACTAGTCGGGTGGCATACATTTGAAGTTACTCCTACTTCGTCTTTAGTTTGATTAGATATGGTCTTCGCGCTGGAATTGCATACTCCAGGATTAGTCTGTCAATATGCGGTAAACATGGTCCTTTATCATAAATGTCAAAGATTTTCAAAGGGCAGTTTTGATGTGGGACAACAACGCTTATATCGCGGATGATATTCTTACACATGAAGTCTTCAAGACACGGTTCGGTGACATCATCATCAAGTCCATCTTTCACTACCTGGTTCTTAAAGGATTTCATCTCCCACGTGATACCTCCCACGTGATTCCTCCTACGTGTTACCTCCCACGTGTTACCTCCCACGTGTTCCTCCCACGTGTTACCTCCCACGTGATTCCTCCCACGTGTTACCTCCCACGTGTTACCTCCCACGTGTTACCTCCCTCGTGTTACCTCCCACGTGTTACCTCCCTCGTGTTACCTCCCACGTGTTACCTCCCACGTGTTACCTCCCACGTGTTACCTCCCTCGTGTTACCTCCCACGTGTTACCTCCCACGTGTTCCTCCCACGTGTTACCTCCCACGTGATTCCTCCCACGTGTTACCTCCCACGTGTTACCTCCCACGTGTTACCTCCCTCGTGTTACCTCCCACGTGTTACCTCCCTCGTGTTACCTCCCACGTGTTACCTCCCACGTGTTACCTCCCACGTGTTACCTCCCTCGTGTTACCTCCCACGTGTTACCTCCCACGTGTTACCTCCCACGTGTTACCTCCCTCGTGTTACCTCCCACGTGTTACCTCCCACGTGTTACCTCCCACGTGTTACCTCCCACGTGTTACCTCCCACGTGTTACCTCCCATGTGTTACCTCCCACGTGTTACCTCCCACGTGATTCCTCCCACGTGTTACCTCCCACGTGTTACCTCCCACGTGTTACCTCCCTCGTGTTACCTCCCACGTGTTACCTCCCACGTGATTCCTCCCACGTGTTACCTCCCACGTGTTACCTCCCACGTGTTACCTCCCACGTGATTCCTCCCACGTGTTACCTCCCACGTGATTCCTCCCACGTGTTACCTCCCACGTGATTCCTCCCACGTGTTACCTCCCACGTGATTCCTCCCACGTGATTCCTCCCACGTGTTACCTCCCACGTGATTCCTCCCACGTGTTACCTCCCACGTGTTACCTCCCACGTGATTCCTCCCACGTACCCCATAAAAGGCTGTTAAAAAAGTTGGAGCAACAGGCAGGAGTAAAAGGGAAGGTGCTCCAGTGGATAAGGGAGTACTTAAGCAATAGGAAACAGCGAGTAACGGTGAGGGGGGAGACATCAGAGTGGCGAGATGTCACCAGCGGAGTCCCACAGGGCTCAGTACTTGGACCCATCCTGTTTCTAATATATGTGAACGATCTTCCAGAGGGTATAGACTCATTCCTCTCGATGTTTGCTGATGATGCAAAAATTATGAGAAGAATCAAGACGGATGAAGATAGACAGAGACTACAGGATGACCTGGATAAACTGGAGGAATGGTCTAGAAAATGGCTGCTGAAATTCAACTCTGGAAAGTGTAAGGTGATGAAATTAGGCGAAGGGAGCAGGAGGCTGAACACAAGGTATCATCTGGGAGGGGAAATCCTGCAAGAATCAAATAGAGAGAAGGATCTGGGGGTTGATATCACACCGAACCTGTCCCCAGAGACCCACATCAAAAGAATATCATCAGCGGCATATGCTAGACTGGCCAACATAAGAACTGCCTTCAGAAACTTGTGTAAGGAATCTTTCAGAACCCTGTATACCACTTATGTAAGACCAATCCTGGAGTATGCAGCTCCAGCCTGGAGGCCATACCTAGTTAAACACAAGACAAAGTTAGAGAAGATTCAGCGGTATGCCACCAGGCTCGTCCCGGAACTGAGAGGATTGAGCTACGAGGAAAGGCTAAAGGAGCTGAACCTCACATCCCTGGAAAACAGAAGAGTAAGGGGAGACATGATAACCACCTACAAAATTCTCAGGGGAATTGACAGGGTGGACAAAGACAAACTCTTCAGCACGGGTGGGACACGAACAAGGGGACACAGGTGGAAACTTAGTACCCAGATGAGCCACAGAGACGTTAGCAAGAATTTTTTCAGTGTCAGAGTAGTTAATAAATGGAATGCACTAGGAAGTGATGTGGTGGAGGCTGACTCCATACACAGTTTCAAGTGTAGATATGATAGAGCCCAGTAGGCTCAGGAATCTGTACACCAGTTGATTGACAGTTGAGAGGTGGGACCAAAGAGCCAAAGCTCAACCCCCGCAAGCACAATTAGGTGAGTACGTGTTACCTCCCACGTGTTACCTCCCACGTGTTACCTCCCACGTGTTACCTCCCACGTGTTACCTCCCTCGTGATTCCTCCCATGTAACACCTGCGACGTGTCCGGCCGCCTCTTCCCTATTCCTACTGTCGTTACACTACACTTAGGTACCTAAATGTTAAGTTTAGGTGGTTCCTCTGGTTAATGTCCTTATGGCCAGGCCTCTGGCCAGGCTCCCGGTTGGTGGGTATGGAAGAAAATGCAGGTAGAACCAGTGAAGAGCAGAGGTGCCATAGGCACAATCAGAGAACACTGTATAAACATCAGAGGTCCGTAGTTGTTCAACGTCCTCCCAGCGACTATAAGAAATATTGCTGGAACAACCGTGGACATCTTCAAGAGAAAACTAGATAGTTTCCTCCAAGGAGTGCCGGACCAACCGGGCTGTGGTGGATATGTGGGCCTGAGGGCCGCTCCAAGCAACAGCCTGGTGGATCAAACTCTCACAAGTCAAGCCTTGGGGAGTAGAAGAACTCCCAGAACCCCATTAAGTTGTAATCAAAATACCATCAAGGTGGTCTGGTCAAGCAGGATGCTAGACATCGCTGCTGCCACTCTAGCGTATGATCAGGTATCCTCTGGAGGCATTTATCCAGAGAAAGTTCGAAGCGTGAAAGGTTGGTTAGTTATGCTCCTTGTGTTTAGGAGGAGAGTATTGAACAGTCTTGGTCCGTTAATGTTAATAACATTGTCTCTCAGCATACTTATTGCTTCTCTGCTATTGAATGGGGGTATTCTGCACATCCTACCCTGTCTCCTGGTCTCATGTGGTGTTATTTCTGTTGTGCAGATTTCGAACCAGTCTCCTCTAATATTTCCCACGTAAAATTAATATGCATCTCTCTAGTGAGTGGTAGGAGCGCCCTCTTTAAATCTGTGTTGTCCAGGGTTACGCACATGTTGTGATTGCATGTGTTTGAGATCTTACTTCTTAGCACTCTTGCAAAGATGTTTATGATGTGTTGTTGGAGTTGTTGGTTTTGAAGAATTAGCGTCTGCTTAATTACCTCATTCGTGGGGTGATGTGATCATCGCCGTTTAAAGTTTATCGTGGTTAATCGAAATATTGCTTCCATGTGATGTTCTGGGCCTATGATATATTTTTTTAAATATCTTAAGATTTAAAATATCCCTCGGATTTGGGCCTGGGGAGGAGTGCATGAACATGCTGTCGCTGGCTATTGCAAATTCCAGGGGGATGACATTCGATATTAGTCGAAGTTGCTGTACAAAATGAACATTATTTCGTCAAATAAGAATGATGTTATCATATTTATAGATGTGTTGAGTATTTTACTCTGTGCTAATATCTGTGGTTCTCGTAGAGATGCCACAGTATTTACATGTGTCCAGTCTAGCATTTGACTGAGTAAATTTTGACTTTCCTTGTCATTTTTCTCCTCTTGATTGTGCTAAAAAGATCTATCTGTTAAATAGAATTCTTGCTGATTCCACATTGATTTTTTTGAGTTTATTCAGTTGTACCGGCCTGGATCCTCTGATATGTAATGCTGGTCAATCTCTATCATAGCATTCTGTCTTATTTAATGAACCACTACACACTTCTCGATGTAATAATTTTCAATGTTATAGCTGCCACAGTGTTGGATATTATTGAATATTTTGGGTGATATTTGCACGTTACATTAGTGTTTCTCGATAACTTTTATATACATCCACTACATGCAAACACATCAGCAGGTATCACCTTTGTGTTCTCTTTGTGTATTTGTGTGTACCTGTTCTACGCTCTGTGTTGGCTCACAGCCGGTAATCATGGGTGAGACTTTGGTCACTTGTCTTGTGGTTCGGACTTCTGCGCTTATGTTGGACTTCCAGTACCATCTGGAGCCGTGTCCGGGCAATGCCCCTTCCTATCCTCTACCAGTTTACTTTCGTGAAGGAAGGAGGAGCCATAAACACAGCCACAATGAAGGAAGGAGGAGCCATAAACACAGCCACAATGAAGGAAGGAGGAGCCATAAACACAGCCACAATGAAGGAAGGAGGAGCCATAAACACAGCCACAATGAAGGAAGGAGGAGCCATAAACACAGCCACAATGAAGGAAGGAGGAGCCATAAACACAGCCACAATGAAGGAAGAAGGAGCCATAAACACAGCCACAATGAAGGAAGAAGGAGCCATAAACACAGTCACAATGAAGGAAGGAGGAGCTAAAACACAGCCACAATGAAGGAAGAAGGAGCCACCAACACAGCCACAATGAAGGAAGAAGGAGCCATAAACACAGCCACAATGAAGGAAGAAGGAGCCACCAACACAGCCACAATGAAGGAAGAAGGAGCCATAAACACAGCCACAATGAAGGAAGGAGGAGCCACCAACACAGCCACAATGAAGGAAGAAGGAGCCATAAACATAGCCACAATGAAGGAAGGAGGAGCCATAAACACAGCCACAATGAAGGAAGGAGGAGCCACCAACACAGCCACAATGAAGGAAGAAGGAGCCATAAACACAGCCACAATGAAGGAAGAAGGAGCCATAAACACAGCCACAGTGAAGGAAGGAGGAGCCATAAACACAGCCACAATGAAGGAAGGAGGAGCCATAAACACAGCCACAGTGAAGGAAGGAGGAGCCACCAACAGCCACAGTGAAGGAAGGAGGAGCCACCAACACAGCCACAATGAAGGAAGGAGGAGCCACCAACACAGCCACAATGAAGGAAGGAGGAGCCACCAACACAGCCACAGTGAAGGAAGGAGCAGCCACCAACACAGCCACAGTGAAGGAAGAAGGAGCCACCAACACAGCCACAGCGAAGGAAGGAGCAGCCACCAACACAGCCACAGCCACCACACAGCCACGAAGGAAGGAGGAGCCACCAACACAGCCACAGTGAAGGAAGGAGCAGCCACCAACACAGCCACAGTGAAGGAAGGAGCAGCCACCAACACAGCCACAGTGAAGGAAGGAGGAGCCACCAACACAGCCACAGTGAAGGAAGAAGGAGCCACCAACACAGCCACAGTGAAGGAAGGAGCAGCCACCAACACAGCCACAGTGAAGGAAGGAGGAGCCACCAACACAGCCACAGTGAAGGAAGGAGGAGCCACCAACACAGCCACAGTGAAGGAAGGAGCAGCCACCAACACAGCCACAGTGAAGGAAGGAGGAGCCACCAACACAGCCACAGTGAAGGAAGGAGCAGCCACCAACACAGCCACAGTGAAGGAAGGAGCAGCCACCAACACAGCCACAGTGAAGGAAGGAGGAGCCACCAACACAGCCACAGTGAAGGAAGGAGGAGCCACCAACACAGCCACAGTGAAGGAAGGAGGAACCATAACCACACACAAACGGGCTAATATCAGACGTCCATGACTCCTGAACTCCTCCAACTAATACAACAATCATGTGGGAACAAAGGTTGGCGTTTTTAAGAGGAAATTAGACAGGTTTCCGTAGTAAGTTCTCGAATCAGCTGACGTGTGATGAGTAAGTGGGCCTGCGGGCGGGTTACCTTGCGTTCATTCCGGGGGTCAAGGTCCCCGCGGCCCGGTCTCTGACTACGCCGCGTTGATGGTCTGTCAACCAGGCTGTTGGACGAGTCTGCTCGCAGCCTGACGTATGAGTCACAGCCTGGTTGAACAGGTATCCTTTGGAGGTGCTTATCAAGTTCTCTCTTGAACACTGTGAGGGGTCGGCCAGTTATGCCCCTTATGTGTAGTGGAAGCGTGTTGAACAGTCTCGGGCCTCTGATGTTGATAGTTCTCTCTTGAACACTGTGAGGGGTCGGCCAGTTATGTCCCTTATGTGTAGTGGAAGCGTGTTGAACAGTCTCGGGTCTCTGATGTTGATAGTTCCCTCTTGAACACTGCGAGGGGTCGGCCAGTTATGTCCCTTATGTGTAGTGGAAGCGTGTTGAATAGTCTCGGGCCTCTGATGTTGATAGTTCTCTCTTGAACACTGTGAGGGGTCGGCCAGTTATGTCCCCTATGTGTAGTGGAAGCGTGTTGAACAGTCTCGGGTCTCTGATGTTGATAGTTCCCTCTTGAACACTGCGAGGGGTCGGCCAGTTATGTCCCTTATGTGTAGTGGAAGCGTGTTGAATAGTCTCGGGCCTCTGATGTTGATAGTTCTCTCTTGGACACTGTGAGGGGTCGGCCAGTTATGTCCCTTATGTGTAGTGGAAGCGTGTTGAATAGTCTCGGGCCTCTGATGTTGATAGTTCTCTCTTGAACACTGTGAGGGGTCGGCCAGTTATGTCCCTTATGTGTAGTGGAAGCGTGTTGAACAGTCTCGGGTCTCTGATGTTGATAGTTCCCTCTTGAACACTGCGAGGGGTCGGCCACTTATGTCCCTTATGTGTAGTGGAAGCGTATTGAATAGTCTCGGGCCTCTGATGTTGATAGTTCTCTCTTGAACACTGTGAGGGGTCGGCCAGTTATGTCCCTTATGTGTAGTGGAAGCGTGTTGAACAGTCTCGGGCCTCTGATGTTGATAGTTCTCTCTCAGAGTACCTGTTGCACCGCTACTTATCAATGGGGGTATTGTGCACATCCTGCCATGCCTTCTGGTCTCATGTGATGTTATTTCTGTGTGCAGGTTTGGGACCAGCCCCTCTGCTATTTTCCACGTGTAAATTATTATGCATCTCTCCCGCCTGCGCTCAAGAGAATACAGATTTAGGCCTATTAGTCGGTCCCAATAGTTTAGATGTTTTACTGAGTGGATTCTAGCAGTAAAGGATCTCTGCACGCTCTCCAGGTCAGCAATTTCTCCAGCTATGAAAGGGGCTGTTATTGTGCAGCAGTACTCCACTCTAGAGACCGTGTGTTTTGTGATCTTACTTCTTGGCACTCCTTCAAAGATTTTTATGATGTGTGATGTTAGTGCTATCGATCTGTAAGTTTTTGCCTCTGTCTTATTTCCTCATTTATGGAGTGGTGCTATCTCTGCTGTTTTTAGTATGTCAGGGATAACGCCAGTATCTAAGTTCTGTGTCCCCCCAAAAATATTAAGGACCTGCGATAGAATTTTTTTCACAATTCCTGATGAATATGGAGTTCCAGGAATCAGGGCCTGGTGCAGAGTTCATAGGCATACTGTTTATGTTTGTGGCTTGTGACATCTGATATATGATTTGATGGTGTCACATTCATGAAGAATTCGTTTGGGTTATCAGTCTTCAGTGTGTGTTTAGTGGCTCGCTGAAAACGGAATCGTACTGTTGTTTCAGTATTTCGCTCATTTCTTTGTTTTCATGAGTGAAAGTTCCATCTCCCTTGTGCAGGGACCGGGTACTGGGTCAGATTTTGTTCTAGATGTTGCCTAGGAGAAAAAATATTTCGGATTTCTCTCTATTTTACTGATGGCCTTTTGCTCTCTTTGCCTCTCCTGGGTTTTATATGATTTTTGTAGCTTGAGTTCAATCGTTTCTATTTCTCTGCCTAACCTTCGCCGTTCTTGAGATAGGGTGCGACTCTCGAGTTGTTCCGCGATTCGTTCTCTTCGCCTATAGAGGGAACGACGTTCCCGTTCCACTCTGCATCTCTAATTCTTTTTTCTTAGAGGTATGCGGTGTGAGGATATTTCTAGTGCCACCGAGTTTTTTTTTTCCAGGCACTGGTTTAGGTTTGTATTTTTTAGCTGTTCTTCCCAGCTTATATCTGCGAGATCTTGGTTTATTTGCTACCAGTTAATGTGTGTATTATTGAAATTAAATGTGCTGACTTCTCCTCCCCCGGGGCGCGGGACTGGTTGTGCAGGTCTACTCCCCATGCTTGTCAGAACTTCAGTTAAGTTGAGATCTGAGTAACAGGTATTTGTAATCATTATATTCCCAAACAGTTCAACATTATTTGTGAAAATAAGGTCTAGTGTGTTATCTTTTCTAGTTGGTTCTACTATTTGCTGGTTTAGAGCAAATCTCTAGCACGTCCGTAGCAGGTTATTCTCATAACAGATATAGACTCAAAAACAAGTCACAGCTTCGTGTCATCCTTTGCAGATGACACAAAAATCAACATAAAAATTACCTCAGCTGAAGACATTGAAAAACTACAAGCAGATATTAATAAAGTTTTCGACTGGGCAGTAGACAATAACATGATGTTTAACAGTGATAAATTCCAGTTACTCAGGTACGGTAAAAGTGAGAACCTTAAACACGTGGTTCCATAAATATGGGAGAACCTTAAATATGTGGGCCTGCGGGCCGCTCCAAGCAACAGCCTGGTGGACCAAGCTCTGACAAGTCAAGCAGGCCTTAGGCGGGGCTTGCGGGAGTAAAAGAACTCTCAGTACCCCATTCTGGGAGTCAAGCAGGTATCAAGTAAGAGGATAAGTGTGTGACTTAATTTAGGCTACTTCCAGGCATTCTCTCTCATAAACCCCTGACGTAAGAACACCTTCTCCCTCATAAACCCTTCCACAACAGTACCCTCTCCCTCATAAACCCTTCCACAACAGTACCCTCTCCCTCATAAACCCTTCCACAACAGTACCCTCTCCCTCATAAACCCTTCCACAACAGTACCCTCTCCCTCATAAACCCTTCCACAACAGTACCCTCTCCCTCATAAACCCTTCCACAACAGTACCCTCTCCCTCATAAACCCTTTTTAATTAACACTAGTTTTTGTTTACAATACCTGCTGTAATACCAGCAGGTATTGTAAACTGATGCCAGCATGACAAACACCCGGGCTGATGCCACTATGACAAACACCCGGGCTGATGCCACTATGACAAACACCCGGGCTGATGCCAGCATGACAAACACCCGGGCTGATGCCACTATGACAAACACCCGGGCTGATGCCACTATGACAAACACCCGGGCTGATGCCAGCATGACAAACACCCGGGCTGATGCCAGCATGACAAACACCCGGGCTGATGCCAGCATGACAAACACCCGGGCTGATGCCAGCATGACAAACACCCGGGCTGATGCCAGCATGACAAACACCCGGGCTGAAGCGGGCAGCCATGACAAACACCCGGGCTGATGCCAGCATGACAAACACCCGGGCTGATGCCACTATGACAAACACCCGGGCTGATGCCACTATGACAAACACCCGGGCTGATGCCAGCATGACAAACACCCGGGCTGATGCCAGCATGACAAACACCCGGGCTGATGCCAGCATGACAAACACCCGGGCTGATGCCAGCATGACAAACACCCGGGCTGATGCCAGCATGACAAACACCCGGGCTGATGCCAGCATGACAAACACCCGGGCTGATGCCACTATGACAAACACCCGGGCTGATGCCACTATGACAAACACCCGGGCTGATGCCACTATGACAAACACCCGGGCTGATGCCAGCATGACAAACACCCGGGCTGATGCCAGCATGACAAACACCCGGGCTGATGCCACTATGACAAACACCCGGGCTGATGTCAGCATGACAAACACCCGGGCTGATGCCACTATGACAAACACCCGGGCTGATGCCACTATGACAAACACCCGGGCTGATGCCACTATGACAAACACCCGGGCTGATGCCAGTGTGACAAACACCCGGGCTGATGCCAGTGTCACAAACACCCGGACTGATGCCAGTGTCACAAACACCCGGGCTGATACCAGCATGACAAACACCCGGGCTGATGCCAGCATGACAAACACCCGGGCTGATGCCACTATGACAAACACCCGGGCTGATGCCAGTGTGACAAACACCCGGGCTGATGCCACTATGACAAACACCCGGGCTGATGCCAGTGTGACAAACACCCGGGCTGATGCCAGTGTCACAAACACCCGGGCTGATGCCAGTGTGACAAACACCCGGGCTGATGCCAGCATGACAAACACCCGGGCTGATGCCAGCATGACAAACACCCGGGCTGATGCCAGCATGACAAACACCCGGGCTGATGCCAGCATGACAAACACCCGGGCTGATGCCAGCATGACAAACACCCGGGCTGATGCCAGCATGACAAACACCCGGGCTGATGCCAGCATGACAAACACCCGGGCTGATGCCAGCATGACAAACACCCGGGCTGATGCCACTATGCAAACACCCGGGCTGATGCCACTATGACAAACACCCGGGCTGATGCCAGCATGACAAACGCCCGGGCTGATGCCAGCATGACAAACACCCGGGCTGATGCCAGCATGACAAACACCCGGGCTGATGCCAGTGTCACAAACACCCGGGCTGATGCCAGCATGACAAACACCCGGGCTGATGCCACTATGACAAACACCCGGGCTGATGCCAGCGTGACAAACACCCGGGCTGATGCCAGCATGACAAACACCCGGGCTGATGCCAGCATGAAAAACACCCGGGCTGATGCCACTATGACAAACACCCGGGCTGATGCCAGCATGACAAACACC